TTACTTGAAGGAAAGACAGGCCTACAGACATAATCAGGGCAGTGTCATGAGCCCAGAAGCACAAGGGCTATAAAAGGAAAGGCCACCTCAGGCCTTCGCACATGCTTTCCTCCTACCTAGAACACTAATCCCTTCCCCCCTTGCCTGTCCACCCATCATCCTTCAGGGGACAAATTAGAGGACCTTTCCTCCTGCCTGGGAAATGTCTCCTAACTCAGTTTGTACCCCATTGCACTATTCAGAACAGCTGTGTGATACTTTTATTTCAGTGGTCTCAACCTTGGATGCACACTGAAATCACCAGAGGGAAAATACTGATGCCTTCTTCACACCCCAGGAAATTCTGTACAGCCTAGAACCTAAAACTTTAAAAGCTCTCCTGGTGATTCTAATTTGAAACCAAGGTCAAAAACCCTAGAATCCTCCCAAACACCCTCAGGGGTAATCATATTCATTGACCTATATATCAGCCAAGCTGTAAACTAGTAAATATTCGATGTAAACCAGTACATCTACTTCAGGGTATGCTGACTGAAGAACAGTCTTGCGTGTCTTTTATTCCCAATGGGGCACTTAGCACATGCTGTTTCTGTGTTTGAATACCCCCTACACTGTCACACTATCTACATTCCCCTAGGCCTGTGGTTGGCAAACCGCGGCTCATGAGCCACATGCTGCTCTTTGGCCCCTTGAGTGTGGCTCTTCCACAAAATACCAGGTGCGGGCACGCACGTACAGTGCGATTGAAACTTCGTGGCCCATGTGCAGAAGTTGGTTTTCAGCCTGGGCAAGTCTATTTTGAAGAAATGGCGTTAGAAGAAGTGGGGGGTGGACATAGAGAGAAGATGAATGAAAGGCGATAGATGAAACAAGTATACAAGACAAGTTTGGATGGGAGAGTTGGAAGGGGTCGACCTCAGCGAATGTACCTCAATAAGATTGAGGATGTTTTTAGCAAAGGCCAGCTTAGGAGTACCCTAATTAAGTTAATAACAATGTACATACCTATATAGTTGAAGTTTAAAAAAATTGGCTCTCCAAAAAAAATTTCAATCGTTGTACTGTTGATATTTGGCTCTGTTGACTAATGAGTTTGCTGACCACTGCCCTAGGCCACCCCACCATACCCTACTCTTCCCTCCCCTACCTTCCCCACCCATCCGACCTTATCCTATCCTATGCTATGCAGTGTTGCACTGTGTTGTAGTATGAGCGTCTTCCTCTT